GTGTAATCATGTACTGTAGGCTCGATTTAGATCCTTAACTGATAAAACTGCTAAACCTCCAAGGTTAATGTAACAAGAATCATGAGAAAAAAAGACGGAACCAAGAGTGTCCGCCTCATGTCACTCACAAAATCAGAAAGCATTATAAGTTTAAATATACCAAACTCCTCCCCCCCCCAAAAAAAAAATCCCCAAAACCCCATAACTTTGGCCGTCAACAAGAGGCTGCTGTGATCACTCGACCTTAGTCCGTGAAATGTTCACAGAAACATTTGTCTTAAAAACCCAACTGTCCCAGAGACTTACATTCAGGCTCTCTGCTTCTAGAGATTTAGCATTCCCTTCCTCACAGCTGCTTGTCCAGTTGGGAACAGGTCAGCCCAATGTGGCCAGACTTCTGCTCGACAGCACACAGCGGGGATTCACTTCAGATGCGGAAGAGGTGACTGACAGTCCTCCTGTAAGGGAGACATTGTCAGCGTTAGCATTAGTGTCAGAGGGGATAGAAATGAGGAAACAGGTAAGGGAGCCAGGAAAGCGCTGCTTCTAACGTAATTAGGTCTTCAGACGTTTGAAAACGTTTGCGTTATTTTGTTTTCAAAATGTCTACAGAAAGATCCATAAAAATGAATTACGATAAGTGGAAACACTCTAAAATATGGAAACACTCTCCGTCTTCCACAGAGTAAATAGAGATTGGAGATGTTTAATAACTGATTACCACATTTTGACACTGATGAAAGCAACGACTGAAATATACTATATTGATAATTTATTCATCAGTTTGTATCTTACTCAGACATTGTGCATGTTTCTTCAGCACTCTAAATGTAACTTAATTTCTGACATTTTTATTAATAATAGTACGATATGATTTTCCTCTTCTATTAGATTTCTGTCTAAGCGTATTATAATTCCTTAGTGCGTTCCACCTTCAAATTAGCCTGATTTACAAAATGTAACAGCATGAGGCCACCATGGTGGCATTGTGGCTATATTGCCTCACAGGTCTTGGGTCATGAGCTTCATGCATACAGTAAAAACCTTCTGTGTGGAGTTTCCGTGTTCTCCCTGTGCGTCTTCTCTGTGAAACTCCTGTTTTCTCTCACGGTCCTAAAACACGCTGTGCCTGTTAATAAGTGTCTCCAAATTCCCTTCCTATGTACCTGTACATTGGTGACTGAATGTTTCTGTGCTCTGCGATGGTCTGCCATCTCAGTCAGGGTGTAGTCCTGTCTTAAGAGTGTAAGAAACGTTATAAATGAGAGGCCATACATCCCATAATAGCTAGCCATTAACTGTTCCAATGTCACCTAATCTTTCCTCGAGAGCAAGCTGGGTATTGGTTTCAACAACATGGTTGGTAGCTTGCTCCAGACTTCCACAACCTTTTGGGTAAAGACATGCCTCCCTCTTCTTGGTTGAAATGCAATTCCACTTTTTAAATTGTTTAAACTGTCTTAGTCTTGTCCCTGCATCTGAGGGTACATCTTGGATTTAAAGGCATGGTTCCTTCATTTCTGCAAACTTTTTTATATCGTTTTTATGTCCTGAACTACGGCCAAGAGAAACGCCATGACGAGAGACCCAGTAAGTTTAATTGCTGTGCAAAGTTTATTTCTTTTTCTTGAGATAGAAAGCACTGATGCCCTAGAATGTGTATGAAATCAGAAATATCAAATTTTTTTTATCACTATTAGCACACTAATTTTACTGGCAAAGTATGTTCCTAAAACTCTTAGATACAGTATGTACATTTAAAGAGACTCGAACACTTAAGGTGATAGCAGTTACCTAAGTAGTTCAGGCAATAAGAAGGTGCAGCATACAACATGAAAGGCACATTAAATATTCAAGCTGATATACTGTTAATGAGAAAATAACACCGGTGACTTAAATATGGCAAGAGGAAAAAGTCAAATAAGTGAGAACCTTTCCTATCTCCGTTCCCTCTGCTACTAAAATGCTCAGGGTACAGACAACCAATGCCAAGCCTGAGTTCAATTTTAACTCAATTTTGACAGCTGAGATTCTGCTGCTCTCTCGTAGCGTAAGTGCACATAAAAAAAGACTCATGGATTATCTGGACAGGGGATGCCATTCATTTTGCAGGACTGGGGAAGACGCTGAGCCTCACAGTTTTTCACAATCTTGGAGGGTGTGTGAACAACTAGCAGCTTGCCAGGGCAGTGGGTGCCTCACATCATGTCGGTGTCAAATAAAATCACTTAGAGGCATGACAAGACATTCAAAAATAACCAAAGGTTAATAACTCTTCAAGACTACAGTATGTGTGAAAGTTAACACTAATAGCATCTCTCGGTATTCTTGTACGAGGTCTGTACACATCTTAAACTTTCTCATTTTCAGCTGGTCAAAACCTGGTCTGACATTTCTTTTGGAATATAGTGCCGTTCGTAACTTTTAATAGATGCACTGTGTCTTGCATTGCTTGTGAAAATATGGTATTTTCCATCACAAGCACCTCTGATAAATGTTTGAATAGTTAAGTAGAAATAATATTATTCTAGGGGGAAGAACAGTTGATATAAATTATATTAAATCATAATTCGTAGCGGATTTTTCTTGCTATCCTCTAGTAAAGTGATTGAAATTGTTCAAGAATATTTTAACATTGTATGGGAAGAGCTAACTTTCTGTATGACACTTCTGCATTGTTCAGGTCTTTCTCCAAAGCTGACTTGAAGGAGAAGAAAGCACACTAGAAGCTACTGTACATGTTTTATTTCCTTGTAAAAATAAAATGGTCATTCAAATAAATTTCATCAATCAACCTAAACGCTTGACATGAAAATACATACAGCATTCAAACAATTAGAATAATCCTTAAATGTCCTTTTATGTTTATAAATCTGAAATGCCCCAGATCACAACAAACTAAGGTTTTAGGTACAGTAGAACTCACCAACCAGTTAATACAAGGCAGAACAGATGCAGTTTATACAAATTTGTGTGGAAATAAACAGTGTAAAAAAGAAAGGTAAAAAAGTCTTTCTAGAGAAAAATAGATCAGGGATGAAGCAATCACTTATCAAATTAAGATGGATTAAATCGGATGTCTTATGCTCTATATCTCAGTTCTATGTCTTATTCTCTATTTTTTAGTGTGTTGTATGAAGTACAGTATATGGTGTAAGGTGTAAGGATGTGTGGGGTACCACACTGAAGGCTGAAGCACATGAAAGCAATAAGACAGGACGGTGCCCAAGTCAAGCCAAAAGTGTTTTTGAGCAAAGACTTGGAACATGGTAAAGTTTTCCCATTATACTGTCTGGTGAAAAAAAAAAAGATGCAGAGTTCTCTACAACCAATAATTATCCAGATGCTAAACATCAATACAATAAAGCTATTTCAAGTTTATGTTATAGCACAGGCACTCTGTTGAAAGAAATAATTGTCAAAAAGCTTAAGACTACAGGCCTTTGATGACTAATAGGTGATTCAGTCCCACCAGCAGATATGTAAGTCAGTGTGGCACTCACAGCTTCATCGGCAAACCACAACACAGACATTCCAGCAGCACAGCAAGAGTATCCAAACGTTCATTCACAAATTTCCAGCTAATCATGGTGATCGTTTCAATGCACTCTGTGTAGCTCACAGAAAAAAAGAAAAGCACACCTGTTAAACCACAATCATGCACATATTCCTAGTGATGAAGTTGCCTTTCTGATATACAGTGTAAGGACAGCTCTAAGCCTCTATGAATTTATTTTTTAATTCATTTGGCAAAGAAAAACAGTTTCTATGGAAAAACAAACATGGGTAAAAATACATTCTTATTTCTCAAAAAAAATTTTTGGCAGTCTTTTAACTATATGCTGTCAACAGCAGAGTATTAAAATGAGATGGTGATATATAGTCTCAAAATACACTTTGAGTCAGTCTTCAAAAATATAGAATTCTAATTGCATTTGTAACAAAGGTAATACATTGTTGCATTTATAAAAATGGTTTGTACTAAAATGTACTGTAACCTTATCAGACCTTAATTCAATACATGGAAAGTAATCACAGACATTGATACTCATTTTATAAGGTCACTTACAGTACATATTCGGTAAGACTGTTGTTTTATGGTGGATTCATGTAATATGTTTTTTTTAATAAATAAAGTTTAAAAACTTAAAGGGCTGGGGAATATAATGTATTTTGTAGTAATGCAAAAAGTAAAGTGGCTATAGGCCAGAAAAGAAATAAACAAATCAACATCAGAGAAGCGACATGGCTCTTTTATTAAACTGAATGTTTTATTTTAAAACAAGGCAACATGGAACTAAAGTAAAGGGGAAAATGTGTTCCTTATTGTTTCTATTAATATGCACCAAATGTGCCCAGAGTCGTAGAATCCTGCAGTAAAAATCATGCAAATCCATTTTCGTTGGTTACATTTTATATTCCACAAACAAATTCTAAAACCTTTTATGTTATTTCATGCTTCATAAAATGGGGATACAACAAGCAGGTCTTTACTGGCAACACTGATTGCCAAGATCTCAAAATCTGTGCTACTACAAAGATAATATGCCATGTGTCTATTCGGTCTCTTTGTAAAAGTAGTCGTAGTTGAAGCCACAATAATGACAGTAAAATAATGTATTGGGTGGTGTTGGGGTCCTGATACAATGCTTGCAGGTAAATAATTATAATTATTTAATTTCCACAGCATACTTGCATTAGAATTAATGATCTTGCAAAATAAATGTCTAGAAAAGTGTCTTTCCATAGAGGTAAGATTGTCAGAAAAAGGCAATTTAGTGACTCCTCCTTTAAGGTCTACAGAGGCTAAACTGTTCTTTTAGCCTTGGAATCTGAGAAGAAGAATGGCCAGAATTTAGGCCCATAGCAGGTAGGGCTGGTCGAAGCAATTAGTGTGCTCATTCACTATAATGAGTGTTATCAGCTGGCTAGTCAAAGTAATTGAAGGTTTGTTCATTCACAGTAATGGGCCTGATTTGCTTATCGGCTGCACCTGGTACAGGCCTGTTAGAAGACCCTTCACTAGCCTAGGATCAGAAACTAACAAAGTCCATCTTTTAGTGCGTGCATGGGAGATTGTTCTTGAGAACACCAGTGACTTGAAAGAGTTTTAGTTTTAAATCCTACGTGTGGAGCTCTCGTAAAAAGGTGTAGTCGTTTCAGACTAAAACTGGTGGATCCCGTACCAGTGGTCTTCAAGAACCAAAATACATTTATGGTATTTTTATAAAAAAATATTGTTCAGGACTTTGACCATAGCTGATTTAAAGACCTAAAAGGAGCTGGATTGTAAATTTTCATGTGACTGCGATTTGTTATTCAAGGACGTTTAAAAAGTATTTAATATGAAAACAGGGCATGCTGCACATGTAATCTCTTTCAAAACCTTTGTTAAAGTCCTACAGTATGTAATAATTTAAGCTTGACATCTTTTTATTTGTAAATAACATTTAAACAT